TAGATTATCTATATCTGCAGTGTTGCAAAGATAAATTCACTTCTTTTTCTTGTTCGCGGGCTGTAAAACTATGAAACATTCTGGTCGTTTGTCCTCTTCTGGACTTTACTCCTCTTCCAGAACGTGAGGTTTTCATGCACATCCATGTTTACAGATCTGGCTTATTTGTAAGCAGACTTCTGGTTCCTTGTCTCTCAGACAGATGCACTGCGGCAGTGAGATCGGACGCCCGTGTGCATTTCTGCGCACGTAAAAAAAACCCACTGGCAGTTGAAAATCTAAAAGAGTAGCCTAACGGCGCTGCCCGGGCAAAATTTTGATTTAAAAGTCTACCCAAAGTATTTCAGGATCCTCGCCGACGAAACAGAGACTGTGCACTGTGCTGCGCTTCTTCGGACTCAAGACTTGAAGAAGAACGGAGCACTTATGGGTTACTACCCGTGTGCCATGATGTTGATCCGTTGTTCCAACCAATCAAACCAATGCACTCCGACTTTAAAGGAAACAATGCTAATTAGTCTACTGTTACGATATGTGCATTTCTGGCAGCTTCGACCAAAGTCACATCGTAGCAGAAGTTGCGACAGGCCTGGCAAGCCGGCAGCTGATTTAATACCGCTACAACAAGTACAGTGAGATGTACACGGACTGACCAAACGGTATTTTATTCCTTACGTCCTTCTTAGGACGTTATTTTTTGTTATTTGAAGCCCCACTCTGGCTTTTGCCAGGGGCCGCAATATAGGCAGGTCATCATTGTGGCCAAATGTCTGAACGCGGTTTCTGGGACCTCTCCACGGTGATCCTCATCCGCATGGTGGCACTTTGTGTCATCGGGTGTTTATCGCTTGAGTGATGTCCTGGTGGGGTAGAAATTCAGTCAGTCAGACGGTATTTGACCATGGCAATGTTAAATGCGTCTTCAAGCTAACAAAATCTTTCCAAACCATAGGTCGACTTGAATGATGGGTATTCACATGAATTAAGCTGGTATTAGCATAACAGAATTATAGCTAAAAATGTTGAGGCCAACTGGTACATCAGGTTGGCTTCTTCTTCTTCTCTTCCACCTTGTACCTCAGCGAAGTTTCGGGGGAGATGTAACATTTGTTGATAAACTCAAGAGCAATATTAGGACTGATGTTCATTTCTGTAAGACTGTTCTTAAATGCCACCACACCATCTTTTTCGAGGTCTTCTGCTCACTCTATTTCCGTTGTAACGTTTTAGTGTAGCTCGCTGTGGCAGATAGTACCAGGTCATTCTTGTAGGTGTCCAAACCACTTCATTTGTTGTTCTTTGATGACCTGTAAGACTGGCTTTATTCCTAGCATTCTCCTGATTTAGTGATTTATTATTCTGTCTCTCCTTGAAACTCCTGCAGCTCTTCTAAGGCATTTCATCTCTGTTGTCACAATTTTACGTTCAATGGAGGATGTAAGTGTCCACGTTTGGCCAAAAAATAGTTCTGATAAGATCTGCTTGCTTGTCAACAGGGGAGATAGTTGCTCCCAATACTTGATTAGCTTACAAGTCGGCTTACAAGCCATAATTTAAGGTAGTACTTAACTCACGCTGTCACAGTTTAATACTTTAGACAAATACAAGGCAAACATTCATGACTTTTGTCACAGTTTAATTTCACACACACTTAGAAATGGCAAACATTCTACTCTGTACTCTTTGTTGGAGTAGGAGTAGGTACAAGTATACGGCACAGCTAGTCTTTTAGAGATGCAACAACATATACAAGTATATGCAGAGATAGTCTCTGAGAGATACAACAACTTTTACAATTATATGGTAGAGCCAGTCATTGAGAGATACAACAACATATATATGGTAGAGCCAGTCTGTGAGAGATACAACAACATATGTAAGTATATAGTAGAGCCAGTCTGTGAGAGATACAACAACACATATAAGTATATGGTAGAGCCAGTCAGTGAGAGATACAACAACACATATAAGTATATGGTAGAGCCAGTCAGTGAGAGATACAACAAAATATATATGGTAGAGCCAGTCTGTGAGAGATACAACAACACATATAAGTATATGGTAGAGCCAGTCAGTGAGAGATACAACAACACATATATGGTAGAGCCAGTCATTGAGAGATACAACAACATATATATGGTAGAGCCAGTCTGTGAGAGATACAACAACATATGTAAGTATATAGTAGAGCCAGTCTGTGAGAGATACAACAACACATATAAGTATATGGTAGAGCCAGTCAGTGAGAGATACAACAACACAAAAATGGTAGAGCCAGTCATTGAGAGATACAACAACATATATATAGTAGAGCCAGTCTGTGAGAGATACAACAACACATATAAGTATATGGTAGAGCCAGTCTGTGAGAGATACAACAACACATATAAGTATATGGTAGAGCCAGTCAGTGAGAGATACAACAACACATCCAAATACATGGCAGATCCAGTTTGTGAGAGATACAACAACATATATAAGATGCAACAACATTCCTCAAGCTGTCACAACATTCATCAAGATGCGTAAAAGTAAAAGAAATTAATAACAATTTATAATTTAATCTTGTTCTTCAGCATCCCAAGCCCGTGAGATTCATTATTGCAGATACCACTGGCCTCTATCTATCTCAATGATCAGTCTTCTCTGTCCAGTTAGAGACTCCAAGTGTTTGTTGGTCTGCTTGCGCTTTATCTCCCCAATATCTGTTTGGTCTGCCCATGGTCTACGGCAATTCAATTCAACCCCCTTTTGTACACAGTTTTTGCCTCTCTGTCATCTACCATTCTCTTTTAATGCTCCAGCGGTTGTGCTGGTCACACTGCTTCTGTTTATTTCTGTGTATTTTGAAGCACAAATGAATCACTCACCTCTCTTTCTTAAACGTTCATTGTATTTTCGACACAGCATTAGGGTCTGATGCATTGTTAATTGTTGTTGTGTTTGATATTCGACCCATGCATAATATAAATTTCTATAACCTATAGTATTTAAAATGTCTGAGACAAATTTTGTCCATATTCCATAATTGTAGATTCAAGCTGTATGACAGACATGGCTAATGTAACCACCATTTTTTTTTAGGGTGACCCAGTCAGTCATACATCTTAGCAAACTTGTTTCTGCAGCAAGGCGCTGTTGTTATTTGGAGGTGACAGGTTTGATTCCTGGCATGTAACCATAACTTTCCATTTTGATGTTATCTATTGTTTTCTTCAATTTTTCTTCTTCTTTTTAAGAATGCTATCAGTATACTGTCTGCTTGTTTTATTAAATATAATACTGTCCTGAGAGCTATGCTGACAGTGACGTATGCTACGAACAAGGTCTTCCATGCCAGACAGGTCAAACGGTAGAGTAAGAGAACCGGACATAGAGTGATACCCTGATCTTTGTGGCTGGGGGTTGAAATGTGAGAACACTGGGATGTGAAGTGTCAGACCTTCATGCATTCTAGACCTTGATGTACGAGGACAGATTGTCAGTTTTCTCGTCCACTTTTCTTCAAAGACAATGCTGGAAATTATCAGGTAATCGCAGTTTCAACTTCATAACAAACAGGTCAGCCCAAAGTCGCTCCATTCCTGTGCCAACGAAAACCACACAGAATGACAATCACTGTCAACCAAAGCAGACAGAACGGCAATCACTGTCAACCAGACAGAATGGCAATCACTGTCAACCCCACAGAATGGCAATCACTGTCAACCACACAGAATGGCAATCACTGTCAACCACACATAATTACAATCACTGTCAACCACACAGAATGGCAATCACTGACAACCACATAGAACGGCAATCACTGACAACCACACAGAATGGCAATCACTGACAACCACACAGAATGGCAATCACTGTCAACACACAGAATGGCAATCACTGACAACCACACAGAATGGCAATCACTGTCAATGACCCAGAATGGTAATCACTGTCAATGACACAGAATGGCAATCACTGTCAACCACACAGAATGGCAATCACTGTCACCTGTGCTAAATCTGACACAGACTGCAGTCTCAGCAACGCCAGTAGCACATTACACATTAAATTGCATAAGGCAGCCATTAGAAGTACCAACATACAAAGTCTAGCACTAGTAATGCAGTTCATCCTTGACAGAAGCAGCAGTCACAAAAAATCAGTAGCTGCACATGCAATTAATCACAGAAGGCACATGGCTGGAAATTATACCAAGCTGTAGAAAAGTATCAGTCCTTAAGAAAAGAGAATAGGGGCTTTTGAGCTGAAATGCTATAGAAAGATTCTCAATATCTTGGACAAAGAAGATGAGAAACATTGACATCTTAAAAGATCTGAACATTAAGGAAGATTGGCTAATAAACAGCATCCTTTCTCGAAAGCTGAAATATTTTGGTCATATCATGCGCCACGACGGATTGGAAAAAATTATAGCAGCAGGCATGGTACCAGGAAGGAGGGGCAGAGGCTGACCGACACGAAGATGGGCACAGGATATAAGTGACTCCTTGAGTGTGAAAGTTCATGAGGCGGGGAAACTGGCAAGAGGCGGGGGAACTGGCAAGAGACCGAGTTTCTTACAGGCAGACTGTGATGAGAGCGACGTTCTGCAAAGGACCTGCTACACGATGATGATGATGTAGAAAAGTACAAAGGGCCCTTTGCATAGCTTCAGCATGTAGGGTTTATAGTGTTAATCTATATTTTTACAGAACACAGGATGCTCGATGGTTGATGTGGTCAACATCCATAACAGATACCTTTACTTCCAAGGACATTACTGTGTACCTTTGTTGGGCTGTGTCGACTAATTTCTGAAGAAAAAATCTGCCTTGATATGAATTTGAGCCTCCAAATGAGTCTCTAGCTGCTACTTGATCGCAGCTCTCCATATCAAGCTGTAAGTGATGTGGAACATGATGATGGTGATTAATGCAGGTGATGAGAAACACAACAAAGGATGACACTGGGTATTTTTTAAAATTCATGCTGAGGCCAAAAAAAAAAATACTTACGAAAGAAATAATAGCAGCAAGAAGCAAAATCTTTACTAGAAGATCATCAAACTGTTCCAGTATGAGCTCCCATAAAGGTTTACCTATGAGACACAGAATTCAAGTGGTTAAACGAAGCACCAGTCTCTCCTGTTGCTTCCCTATGTGAGTTCCAGGGCCCCATTGTGGGGGAAACAAAAACAGTGCCACTGTCTCCCCAACAAGCATGTCCTAGGAGTTGACTAACTGGAGGTATTCTTTGAAGTCGTAGTACCTCTGCATGAGAGACAAGCAACCAAGAGTCTGCATACAAATAAGCTAGATATGTGAAACAGATGTGCACACAAAACTCAGGTTCTGAAACAAGACTAAAGTCCAGAGGTGGACGAACACCTAGAACTTTCCACAGCAGTTCACAGCCAATGAACGTGAAGAAGAAGAATACACAGCACACGACTCTGTATAAGACATCTGCATGCCTCATCAATCAATTAGGTGTCATCTTAACAATAAAGGTTTGCTGCACAGAATCTTCAACATACTCCGTCTCTTGGTTACACAACACTCTCTCAAACTGCTCTGTATTCCTCTCTTTATGTTGTCGTCCCACTTGTATCACTACATGCCTCTTGCTATTTTGCCTTCAACTTCTGTCTCTGCATGGATTTTAAAAGACTGTTTTGTCTTTTAATATGGCTTAATTTTTCAAATTCTTTTTTTTTCTCTCTTTTTAAAAAATCTGTTTCAGTAACTCTCTTTTTAATTGCAGTCTCCAGAACTTCTATATTTGATTGTTTTTGTTTACCATAAAATAGGACCTATTCTTCTGTATATCCACATTTTCAGAGACTTTATTTAATTTTTTTATTTGCCTGTTCATTGTCCACATTTCTGAACCATACATTAGGGTTGAGTATACATGACATATGACGATTCTGATTTTTAATGAGCTGTTTATCTCTCTATCTATCAATAATTGATTCTGTGTGTTAGGGGGTTACATAAATGTGAGTGATTATATTATGTATGTATGCTCTTCAGAACATCTGTATTTGATTTTTGTTTTTAGAAAATAAAACCTAGTCTTCTATATAATCACATTTCCAAATACGCAATTCACACAGGCATACCATTGAAAGGATTAACTTGACTGCAGCAGGTTTGATCCCACATACCCCAAATATGGCTAAGAAAGTCGCACAAAGGACAAACTCCGCAGCTCTTCTGATGCTCCAGAGAGACCTCCTTATAAAAACTGCACTCAGGAACTGAATGATACAGTGTATGAAACAAACTCATGTCTTTCACAGCGCAATGCAATGATCCATCCAGTTTGCCCATCAGAGGTTGGTGAGAAGATTTAGCTCAAGTATATGTAACACTATTTGATTAGTATGTCTGCCACTGTCACTGAAATACTAAGGTATACCTAATAAAAATAATAAACATTGATAAAGCAATGTAGGAAGGTTCAGTCGGAGTGTGCAGTGCCAACAGGTGATGGTTTAAAAGTTAAATGCACTGAAATATTTGAATTTTATCTCCTTTGTTATCTGGTATAGCCACTGACTGGGTGATGAAAAATACAGTATGGGAAACACCAGCACCGACAGGGCGGAGAACACACAATGGGAAGATCTAGATTTTGCAGATGATTCTGTTCTACTAATTGCAACCACATGTAAAAAAGACAAGCATCAAAAACTGGACTACAAATAAGTCAGGAATACACAAATATACTGAAAGCACCAATAACAGGTGGACAATAGTTAAAGAATTTACTCATTTGGGTAGTAATCTTGACAGTCTAGGAAACACAAAGAAAGAAAGTGTGATGCACACCAGCAATGCATCAGCAGCTTGTAAAAGCCTGAACACAATACGGAACTCTAAATTGTCTAGTTTTAGATGCAAGTTAAGTGTTTTCAATTCTAATGTTATTTCGGTTTTAACATATGCCAGTGAAAGTTGCTGAAACACTAAAGACATGGAAAAAAGTTGAATGCATTCCCAAACAAAGTGCCTGCAAAATATTTTGAACCTAAAATGAGATGAATTCAAGAGGGGGGAAGAAATAAGATAAATATCTGGACAACCACTGGTTAAAAAGACAAAGAAGATGGCACTATATTAGACACATCCTGAGAAGAAACGAGCAGAGAATCACCAACAGGCACTGAATTGGGAAATAAATTGACTGAGAAAATGAGGACTTTCAAGAGAAACGCTAAAGTGAAAGCTGATGAGAGAAGCCATAGGCACTTGACTGGATTCCATCCATGATATGAAAGTGAATGCATAAAATAGAATGGACTGGACAAATAGACCACCAGCCCTGTGTGACCTTTAATGACACAAAAGCACAATGATATGATGATGATGATATGATTAGTGATATTTAGGGCTATCAACACAGAACTCTGACCAGATCAACAGTTGCCATGATCTGCTTCTCAATAGCTTCAAAGGCATTTATTGACTTATCATGCCTATTCTGTGTAGATCTGCCTGAATAATATTATCTCTCCATTGTCTTTGTGGACTACCTTGTGATCTACTCCCATTCAAACTCTTGTGTGTACACAGTGTTTGCCTCTCTGTTATCTGCCATTCTCTCTGTGTATGCCCCAAACCACTGCAGTCGTATCAACCTCCACAATGCCAGTAATTACTGGTGATTTAAACAGCTTATGAATTATATATGTGTGTGTGTGCTACCGCAGCACAATCAATCAATCAATCAGCAGATCATTTACAGAACAATCTTTTCTCCAGGCTATGCCGGCATAGTGAGTAATGAACAGGCAGACAGATTTGCTGGATATGCACCGCTGTGTGAATTGATACATGAAAAGGCAGATGTGGTCAAGGCCCTTTGGGAAAAAGCAACAGAATCAGTAATTATTAAGGTCTCAAGAGAATGAGGCATCTGGGTGTAACCAGAGGGTCTGGCCAGCTCACTACACTCAGAGGAAAGACAAGACGGACATATAACCAGATTGTCACCGGTACCATCAGTATTGGAACTCTGCCCTGGCTGCTGATGATGAGGACGGATCACACATGGGAATGCCCAAAGTGCTGTGATGTAAATTCTTGACTCAACTCAACTCTTTACAGAACGCAGCTCTCTTGACGCCACACCTGAAAGTCTCTCCTTCTCTAGCCTATTCTCAGCCCTGTGTGCTTTTGGAGCCAATGCATCTTCAATATTCTGTATACACCTTTGTGGAGGTTTGCCTCTGCATCATTTCCCAGAAACTGTACCCTCCATCATCGTTCTCTCCTGGCCACCATAATGCTTAACATGTCTAAAATACCTCAGCTTTCAGGACAAGATGCTGTTTATGAGCAAATTCTCCTGGATGTTCAGGTCATGCCGGATGTCAGCGATCTTCTTCTTCCTGGTCCATGATATTCTAAGAAATTTTCTGTAGATTTCAATTCAAAAGCTTTTATTGTTTCTTCAAAGACCGAGTCAGAGTCAATGACTCACATCTATAGTTACACTGGGAAAGATGGAAACGTTTTTACTTTAACTTGCTTGCAGGTGCTGTGCCAGATGTTCTTTATGCTGTTCAGCCACTGCATTGCTAAAGCATGTCTTTTTTCTGACTTCTGTTGTGCAGCTGAGGTTGTTCTTACTGTCTAAATATTCCAAATCTCTACCACCACTACTACTTATAAATTATTGGATAATGTTTACATAATAACTACATCTTGTAAGCAATATAATATTCCAAATTCTATTTAACTGATGTTATAATTATTAAAGGATACATACCTTCTTCTGCAGGCAATTCTGAAAACAGACAAAGAGAAACAATATGAAATATATGCATCCCGAAACGTTTTCAACAGACAAAATTACAACATATTAATTTGAAATATATGCATCATAACACATTATCAGTGGTATTTGCTTCTTCTTGTTCTTCTCTGCCAGTTACCTGAGGGAAGTTTTGGGGGCGATGTAAGTATCCTCTGTTTGTTTGTTCTAATGAGCTGCATAAGATGGTCTTCACCTCTCTACAGCTGTTCTTGATGCCATCACTCCAACATCTGCCTGGTCTTCAAAAAATGGCGGGGAATGACAGAAAACCGTAGGGGATGAAGAGCTTCAGAAGAGGCAGAGAGACAACAATATGAAATGTCAGACAAAGGTGGGTGGTGGATACAACAGTGCCAGATTTAGACTTGATGAGGCCTGACGCTATATAAAGCACTGAGGCCCCTACCAGTTTCATTTATACCAGCTAACCTCAGAAAACTTTAAAATATTAAGTTCTATAAATGTTAATTTATAATGGAAATGTAATGAGGTTTAATTTTTATTATGGAATACAGAATGTGTTTGAAAAATCACATAGATTACTTCACATAATCTTCTAAAAGTCTCTAAAAAATAAAACGAAAAAATATTTTAAAATAAAATTGCATTGAGGAAGAAAATAGGAGTTTGCTGTTGTTGCTGAGGCCCCTGCAGACCGTGAGGCCCTAAGTTGTAGTTTTTTTAGCTTGCACCTAAATCTGGCATTGACAATAGCAGAAACTCACAGACCTGTGAGGAATGACATACGACAGCGAGGAAACACAGACAAGAGTATTAATTAATAGTAGACAGCAAGGGGAAGTGACAGAAAACAAGAAAAATATGTCAGACAATGTGAGGGAATGATAAACAACAATAGGAAATGACAGAAAACAGCGAGGAATGGCCTCAAAGGGCTTAAAACTTATTTAAGTGCATATAATTTTAACAACAATATTGTACTGAGTGGTAGATAAATATAACAATATATATGAAATATTATGGAATGTATTAACAAATACAGATAATTATTTATACACTGTTATGAGGCCCCGCTAAACCCCTTTATGAATGTTCAGGGGACGAGTGGGGGGGGGGGGGGGGGATGATTGAGCACTCAGATTGTGATGCTCCTGACCATTGTAAAATGGCAGATAACGGTAGGGAACTACAGACATTTGTAAAAGTAAAGAACCTTCTTCCATGCCTTCAGGCTTACTGGGTACATAGGGCTAGACCTGAATTTTTATAGACGAATCAGCACTTGGTGTGGATGATGTGGTCAGCATCAAGCCAGCCACTTTTACTTCCCAGGACTTTAGATACTGCCCATTTAAGGCTAGGGCGACCTGAGAGGGAAGGAAGGTTATTGTTTAAAAAAAGGGTAACTCTTTTTTGGAGTTCTTCCTCTTCTTCTTCTCCTTGTTCACTTTCTTCTCCTTGTTCCAGCAGAAAGTTCTGGTTGTTCCAGAAACTGAGTGTTGTGTGCATATCCATTTCACAAGTCTGACTTATTTGCATCCAGACTGTTGGTTCCTTGCCTCTAAGGCAGATGTACTCAGACTTTAAAAAAAGCTCCCATAGACAGGCAGCGGATCTATTCTTGTTTTCCTCACAATGGGGCCCCGGAACCCACCCTGGGAATTTTGGAGTTGAACCCATGACCTTTGGATCTGCGGGCGAGAAATAGCCCCAACACCATGGTGGCTCAGGCTGACAGCTGTAGAGAACTATAAAAAGTAGTTAGCAACAGAAAACAGTGGGCGACATCAGTACTCAACAACAACAGTTGGAAGTGATAAAATGCGATAGGATGTTAATCAAAGGCATGTTTTCTCGATGTAAATGTAAATACTGGGGACATCATTAATACAGTACAAAGCTGTGTAACTAGGTAGTGTTGCTAGTGGATTTCAGTGAATAGAATTCATTTCTCTGTCTCATTAGGTGTTGATGTCATTCGGAAGCGACACATCTGAAGAGATATAGCAAAATATGTCTGACAATAAACTGTGCAATATACTGTTTGTGTCTGTGTTCTGCAAATACGATATTATCATATGTTAACAGAACCATTTGAATACTGCAAAGTTACTCCAAAGTCCATGTACATGATCATCATCAAGTGCCTTGTCAACAGGCATGGGCGATCACACTTCTCCACAATCCGTGGTCAGCAACTGTGTGTATCACTCGTGTGCTGACACCTTTCTATGCCATGACAAAAGGCAGCCAAGAATCTTCTCTCGCTGTCTTCCTCTGCCTCTCTTTCCACAGATCTTTCCAGTGTTTCAGTTTTCCTCTTCTCATTACATGACTAAAAAATGATGAATGTCTCTTTCTGATGTGTGTGATAAGTTTTCTTCGAGCACACGCCTCTTTCAAAATATCTGGGTTGCTCTTCTTAGCTGTCCAAGGAATTCTAAGGATTCTTCTGTAAAACTACATCTTCAAGGCTTTAAGATACTGTTCGGCTTGTTTATTAATTATCTGGGATTCACAGCATTAGAAGCCCCATTAACGTCATTGTCTGAATACGCTTGGTTTAAAAGCAAGATTTACAAGGGAAATCACCACATATATAGTGTTTGGAAAAAAAAGCTCACATGCAGTGGCAGAGAGTTGTATAAAGTAAGTAAAGTGCCCTTTCCCCGCCTTTCACAATTCAGGTTTATACTGATAGGCTAGGATCAGATGGTTCAGACATGTGTCAAGACTAGCACCAGATAGCGCACCATACAGAGCCCCGTCACTTTGACACATCAGAGGCAGAGCTAGAGGTCAAACACGCAATACCAGCATAGACACAGCACACAACAAGGCTTGTACCCGATGCCTCTTCAAAACATGACAATGACAGTCATAAGAGGATTGGAGAGGAGATAAAGTCGAAGACAAAAGAGGAGGAGGGGGGAGGAGAAGAAGGCAGAGGAGAAGGTAACCAGGAGTGGAAGCAGTAGGAAAGTGAGAAAAGGGAGAAGAAGAAGCAGAAGTAAATGAAGGAAATGACCATTTTCAAAACCTTGAGTCATATTGGGCATATAGGGCTAGACCTATATTTCATAGATTAATCTGCACTTATTCGATGATAGAGGTCAGCATAATGCAGGCCGCCTTTACTTCCCAGGACTGTACCTTATAATCAGTTTAAGGCTGGGTTGACCTGGCAGCCAATGACATTATTATTTTTCAAACAGTCTGGCCCCTACAGGACCTTAACCTATGACATTCTGATCTGCAGGCAAGCGTCTAGTCACTGCACCACAGCAGCTCCCAGAAGAAACAATCCTAGGCCTGTATTGGTCAAGAACAAGCGGCACTCGGGGTATGATGTGGTCAACATCATTCCGGCATCAGTTACTGTCATGAACATTGCCTGGCACCCAGGACACCTCCCCCCCCCCCCCCCCAAAAAAAAAGTGCGGTACTCACAATAAAATGTCTTTAAAAAGTGCTGTGATCACTTTTTAAACTGCCAGAAAGAAACAAACAACCCTGCTGGTACCCAATTTATGCTGGTTCTACATGAGCGACAAGGTCAACTATGAGAGGGAGAAACCCCACAAATCTCAGCACATGATGTACAAAACCATCCAACATGAACAAGATCTCCAGATACCGCTTTAGCATATTTTCTAGATGCGTACCTACCTACCTCAAAGTCGTGGGTTCAAATTCACATGGAGTGGGATATTTTTCTTCTTTTCAAGACTGACATTGGCTGCCAAAAAATTGGTAATTATATTGCAGCTACAGAGATATGCAGTACATCATCCATCAAGTGCTGGTTGGTCTGTGAGCATTTGACAAGTAACAGTAAAAGACCCTTTTCCCTGACTTGGGGCGTATTGGGCATACAAGGCTGGACCTATATTTTATAAACCAGGCTGGGTCGGCCTGGGAGCGAAGGTCAGTTTTGACAAAAGTTCCGGCTGCGTTCAGATTTTAACACACCACCTTCAGATCACACAAAAACTGTCACTACTGTGTATTTACCACTTTTTAGGGCGGTGTATACAGCAGGGGGGGGGGGGGGGGGGGTCGTGAACCTGAGGATTTAAGGCTGCCTGGCTGGCTAGTGCTGTCGCCACGGACTGTGCAGGTTAGGACGTTTAATTTAAAAATAAGTAAAAAGTAAATAAAGGATCTTTTTCCACGCCTTCATGCGTACTGCACATAGATGGCCAGACCTATATTTTTCCGACCAATTGGCTCTTGGTGTGTGATGTGATCAACATCACGCCGGCCGCCTTTACTTCCCAGGACTTAACCTGCCACTCAAGACTGGGTCCACCTAGAAACCAGGGTCATTTTTTTTTAAGTCCGGTTCCATCAGGACCCGAACTCATGACCTTCCGATCAGCAGGCGAGCGTCTAACTGCAACAACATGGCGGCTATTTAAAGTCTCCAGCAGAGATAGACCACTCTAGAACACTCTATCTTTCTGTGTAAAGTCTCTAGCAGAGATAGACCACTCTAGAACACTCTATCCTTCTGTGTAAAGTCTCTAGCAGAGATAGACCACTCTAGTACACTTTATGGTGGTTATACGCTGAATAGAAAATTAATCCACACCCCCAAAAAATAATTAACAATGTCAAATGTATAATACCTCAGTCCCTTCTCTTAAAGAAACTTTGAGAGGTGTGTGGGTGCAGGGAGCCTCAACGGGTTCGAGTTCTCCCGCTCCGGCGCATCCGAATAACGCTGCTTTACCTCATCATGTCTCTGCCATAGCTACTGTAACAATGCAATAATTACACAGGATAGCACTTCTCTTTTTAATACAGAGATATGCATTCTCGCAGCAACAGGTGACGTTTGAACATGGATCAATGTCATGGCTTACGGGTAGTAAGCCATGTGCTACGTTATTTTTCGAACTAGTCTTGAGTCTGAAGAAGCTCAGCACAGTGCACAGGCTCTGTAGCACTGGTGAGGATCCTGAAATACTTTGGGTAGATTTCTAACTCCAAATTTTGCCCGGACAGTGACGTTAGGCTACGTGCCCAACAATGCACACCAGCATCCGATCTCACTACCCAGAGACCAGGGGGATTGAACCCAGAACCTCTAGCACTCGAGGCAGACACCATGCCTCAAGACCACGCAGCCCCCCCTAGGAACAGGTGATTGACTGACTGAGGTTCAACTCCACCAGGATACTACACAGAGCGATTAACACCCGGTGACACAAAGTGCCACTATTCAGATGAGGATCACCCGGGGACAGGTCTCAGAAACCCCATTCAACCCATTGTTGATAAAACCACGGTGGAGCTCCAAAACAGGCAGCGTCGTATCCAATTTATATGGGTATGCTGGGGGCGGCAGACGATTAGGTCTACTGGTTAGTGAGATCTGTTCATATCAGACCAATGGTTCTTTTCTGTTAAGTCACCACATCACTCGAGATTTAGGACAATCACATAGTATAGGGGGCTAGGGTTAGTAGTAGTCGCTATTCATTCAACACTGGGCCTAACCCTCCCCCCCCCCCCCCCCCACTAAACATGTGAGATTTCCCTAAATCTCACGTGATGTGGTGACTTAACAGAAAAGAACAAGGTTGCTGTAGTATCACACCTTCGGGTAGCAGAGACGTCTGATCAGTATTATGGCTTCCTAGGAAGACCAGTATGCCGAGGCCTCGACTACAACCACTTGCATGAATACAATGTATATGATCAATAATATTAAATATATGCTCAGATTAGCATGGGGCCACTATACTCGCAGGGACCCTGGGCGTTTGTTCAGCAGACCCATGAGTTAAGATGACCCTATCGCGTAGCCCGACCTGCATATAAATATATACTTTCTATTTGTCGTTAATTGACTTAAAAGATTGATGTTGATTTAAATCATATTCAAAGGTGGTAATTTAAATGTTAGTGGGTTTGGGGTGAATGCTGAATCTCCCAAGGGATATCTTACTGTGCAAACAGTAATCCAGCACAGTCACGTCGTGTCACAGAAATACAGCATATAAATCAGAGCCAACAAGTTTATCATTGTTCTGTCCGTTCTGTTATTCTATTTATACAGAGTGTACAGGAGTGGTCTATCTCTGCTGGAGACTTTACACAGAACTATAAAGTGTTCTAGAGTGGTCTATCTCTGCTAGAGACTTTACACAGAACTATAAAGTGTTCTAGAGTGGTCCATCTCTGCTAGAGACTTTACACAGAACCATAAAGTGTTCCAGAGTGGTCTACTGCTGCTGGAGACTTTACACAGAACTATAATGTGTTCTAGAGTGGTCCATCTCTACTAGAGACTTTACACAGAACCATAAAGTGCTCTAGAGTGGTCTATCTCTACTAGAGACTTTACACAGAACCATAAAGTGCTCTAGAGTGGTCTATCTCTACTAGAGACTTTACACAGAACCATAAAGTGTTCCAGAGTGGTCTACTGCTGCTGGAGACTTTAAACAAAACCATAAAGTGTTCTAGAGTGGTCTATCTCTGTTAGAGACTACACAGAAAGATAGTGTGTTCTAGAGTGGTCTATCTCTGCTAGAGACTTTACACAGAAAGATAGAGTGTTCTAGAGTGGTCACATAAATTATACATTCTTGCCTATCCTATTATGCTAACATATGATACTTATATGTCACATGTGTTATACTTATCTATCCAACAATGTTATACTTTTCTAACCCACAATGTCATATGTGTTATACTTATACCTCCTATAATGTCATATATGTTAAATTTATCTAGCCCATAATGTCATACATGTTATACTTATTCATTCTATAATGTTATATATGTTATATTTATCTGTCCTATAATGTACATAAATTATACATTCTTGTCTATCCTATTGTGCTCACCTATGTTATACTTATCTATCCTACAATGTTGTATATGTTATACTTATGCGTCCTACAATGTCACACAAGTTATACATTCTTGTTTATGCACATATATGTTATACTTATCTATCCTACAATGTCATATATGTTATACTTATGCGTCCTACAATGTCACACAAGTTATACATTCTTGTTTATGCACATATATGTTATGCTTATCCACCCTTCAGTGTCATACTTATCCATCCTACAATGTCATATAAATTATACATTCTTATCTATCCTATTATGCTCACATATGTTATACTTATCTGTCCTACAATGTTGTATATGTTATCTGTCCTACAAAGTCATATATGTTATGCTTATTGCCCCTACAATTTAGACTTACACTTATGCATCCTACAATGTCACATAAGTTATACATTTTTGTCTATCCTACTATGCTCATGTATGTTATACTAATCTATCCTACAATGTCACATAAATTGTACTTATCTATCCTACAATGTCACATAAGTTATGCTTAAATTTGTTTTACATTCTTATATATACTACTGTGCTCACACATAACTCATATCTTTCCTAATATTATTGTAAAAGTTACACATTCTTATCTATCCCACAATGTTCATATGTATTTCACATCCTTATGGATGTCAAAAAAATGAAGTACATATTAAATCGCCATGTTTTCACAAGTTGGGTGATAGACATTCTGTGTGATTCTGTTCCATCCCTGAAACTAATACTTGTGTTTTTCTATTGATTCTTTTTTGCCTTATTGAAAATCTACTGTAAATACTCCTGAGACTGAAAGAGTTAAGACAGAGTAATGGTATCCCAGATCACTTTAAATATCTTTATAGACGGATGTCAGTCATGGACTATCTCCCAGTCCTTAAGAAAGAGAATAGGGGCTTTTGAGCTGAAATGCTATAGACAGATTCTCAGAATATCTTGGACAAAGGGAGGAGAAAAACTGACATCTTGAAAGATCTGAACATCAAGGAAGATTGGCTAATAATCAGTATCCTGTCTCAGAAGATTGGCTAATAAACAGCATCCTGTCTTGGAAACTGAAATATTTTGATCATATCAAGCGCCACGACGGACCGGAAAAAAATTATAGCAGAAGGCATGGTACCATGAAGGAGGGGCAGGGGCCGACATACACGAAGATGGGCACAGGATATAAGTGACTCCTTGAGTAAATATGAAAGTACATGAGGCGGGAGAGCTAGCGAGAGACTGAGTTTCTTTCAGGCAGACCTTGATGAGAGCGACATTCTGCAAAGGACCTGCTACATGATGATGATGAGAGATGGATTACATAATTTGAGTATTGTCACACTTTATTTCGTTTGAAATACAATCTGACTGCTACTGGTACTATTGGTGCTGGAGCTCATAGCTGGCTGCTGAAGATAGGGACAGGGCACTTATGGGAATGCCCCGAAGGCTAAGATGTCAGTTCTTGAAACTCAACCCAATATATAATTGTATAAAGTAAAGTAATACACTTGGAATATATTCAACTTAACAGTCTATACTCCTACAATCTGATAGAACTGATTACCAGCTGTACAAACTGTTAGGGTGAACTGTAACGTCAGATGCTTACTGAAGGTCATGGGTTCGGGTGCTGACAGTGCTGGACTTTTTTCCAGATATGACTTTGGCATCCAGGTCGATCCAGCCATAAATGGGTACCAGGTAAAGGTCCTGGGAAGTAAAGGAGATTACATCGCCCACCGGGTGCCGACTGGTCTATTAAATTTAGGTCCATTGTGTCTGAAGGGCGTGGAAAGGGTCCTTTACTTCTGTACTTTTTACCTACATGCCCAATACAATACAATGTGGAATGAGGGTCCTAATTAACTAGCCATATATGCCCAATACGGTGTGGGAAATGATCCTTTATGCAACATGGAATAAACCAAATATAACTGAAATTAATATTCATTATTGAAACAGAAACTAAATGTGCCAGTTATAACCCAGATGGGCTGAACGAATACCGTTGTTTAAACTACTACTAAGTGTTCAGTCGGTAAATACTTCACATCCGAATCCTGTTGTTCTTTACCTAACTGATCAAGGGGACTCAGGGCGATCGAGCGAGAAGTAAACACTACACAAACTCACAGAGCGTCGCGAAAAAAACGCCAGCAGTGAAATAAAGACAAATGTAAACAAACCGTAGAAGTCCCAATCGCCACTAAATTTATATGCCGTAATCGGGTCAGTAGACCAGGGCTGATAGATAATTAACGGTCTTAGCACAGCTGGACTTCAACGATAACAGTAGTTAGTAAGTAAGTGTTTTTGCTAATGAATCTTTCCCAGTCCATCCCAACTTCTCACAACAGGATCTTTCTACACAATACACACCACAGAATGCATTTCGCTTCCGTATCAACAAATTAACCAACAGCGACTTGTAATGATCGTTTCAACTCTATAAAATCATATATCATAACGCACAGTTGTAGAACAGATATATCAGAACTACAACTTACCATTTGGTCCATATTTTTCTGTATGTTTCCTGACTTGCTCCTCCGTTAATCCCAAATTTTCGTCTACACCGAAATACTGACACACTTCCTCCGATGTTTTAACGAAGGCGTTATCCATGGTCAAACGCTGACAGTGGACACCTGCTCTTGTCCCCGCTGTAATAAAATAAATTCAGCTATCACCCCCGTGTTGAAATGTCTAAAAGTGTGTAAGTAAATCCGAAAATGTGAAAGGAAAGAGACCAGATTCCCGAGACGACGTCTCCCTTCCTCCAGCAGACAGTTAACGACCGGCTCCCTCACGTCTGCTACAGGTGAGGTCAAACATACACGTCGATACCATAGCGGGGTCAACCCTGGGGGTATCAACCTTGTCATGTATCATTTTTGAACTGTATATTGTTTATCCCCTTTACTATCTTCACAATAATAAGTTCTAATAAATATAAATTATTCCCTATAACTAAATTTTCTTGTAATTTATGTACTAAAATACTAGATGATAAATAATGTGGCTAACTTAGATTACCTGGATGTTGGACTTGTCCTGCGCCACAACGTCACAACGGTTACGCCCAAAGAGCCAGGGCTGACGCTGATTGGCTGGGAGCCGACTCCAGTTAGGTAACGTTGTCATAGCTGTGACGTCACGGCAGCATGATGAAGGTAACTAGTGTGTGCGCCCGGGCAGAGAGCAGGTAACAACTGCCAACACCTCAGCTTTAACGATCTGCCTCAGTGAGCAGATCTGTCAGCTGTGGAGCCGGGGAAAAGATGTCTGAAAGTCAGAACATAATAATAATGTTGTTGGTCCATCTCAAGTGATGATGACCACTCTTTCGCTGCAATTGATTGTCTTTGAGTGAGGAGTTTACGTTTGGCCCACTGCTGGCCCGGCAGAATCTAGCCTGAGCAATGGGAGCAGGGAAGAGAAATGATTATAATATTGAACTCCTTAATATAACAGACCAAGTCCCCATCTTTCGTCTACTCAGCGGACATTCCAGACTCGTGTTAACACTCATCTATGTTCTAGACGTATTCAATAACATGTGCAAGGCTATCCTCTCCTGGTTGAGCTGCGAAACATGTGGCCTCACCAAGTAAAAAAAAAAAAAAAAGCGGCCTAGAAGTTAAGCTTTAGGGAAATCAAAGACACCTGGAGTTGGCATCCTTTTTTATAGCCTAGAACTGATTAATCATCGCATGGCCACATGGCTAAAAAGACACAGTTTTACTATATTGCAAGAAATGGGGAACTCCAAATAATTCCCTTTAATCTTCTTTTTCTTCTTCGAGTTCACCAGCTGTAAACTTTGGCGGAAAGTTTTGGTTGTTTATCCACCTCTGGACTGCAGTCCTGTTCCAGTACCTGAGTGTTGCGTGTGCATTCCGTTTAAAAGATCTGGCTCATTTGTCTGCAGACTGCTGGTTTCTTGCCTCTCAGGCAGATGCACTCTCCGACTTTGAAGGTAGCTTCCAACTAGTCGACTCTTACGAAATGCTTTTGGGTAGGCAGTGGGTCTATTCTTGTTTTTCCTATAACAGGGCCCCGGAACCCACAGAGGGAACTGCCTCTAATGAATATATAGCCTCTTGCAATAAACTGACAAAATGGACTGAGGCAACGAGGACGTCCAAGAAAAACCTATGACGAACGTTTTTGAGAAAGGTTAAAGTCGAGAGGATCAACATCATTGCACTGGGTTTTATCCTATATGGCTCAGTCTCTCTCCGCAGAACGGCCAGTTGCCTACATAGAACATCGCACAGTGCACGAACACCGTAGCTCCGGCGAAAATCCCCAGAGATTTCCGTAAAAAGTGTGCCCTTGAACTGAACGAAGCAGCAGTTAATCGAGTCCACGACCTCCAGAGCGGGAGGCAAATTGCTTGACAACTTCACCATGGAGACACATGACTGGATCCCGTCAATCAAACTGAGAGGATTATGGAACGGAATGGAGTGAGGGGATTGTGGAAGACAGGGCGGTATGGAGTGAGAGGATTGTGGAAGATAGGACGGAATGGAGTGAGAGGATTGTGGAAGACAGGACGGAATGCAGTGAGAGGATTGTGGAATATAGGACGGAATGCAGTGAGAGGATTGTGGAAGACAGGACGGAATGGAGTGATTGACTGCCAGTAACTTGTGTGCTCAGCATAATTTGCAGATGCGGCGTCCGTGGCTTAGGCGTAGCGAGTCCGACTCGTAATTCCAACGTACCGCGATCGAAACCCACTGATGCCTGCGTGGATTTTTATCGTGGTATGGGGCGTCGCAGGTTGATCCAGCCTAAAATGAGTACTAGGATGTATGTCCTGGGGAAGTAAAGACGTAATACTGACCACATTACCCACCTAGTGCCGATGGTCTGTAAAAATATTGGTGCTCTCCCCCCATATACCCGATACGCTTAAAGGCGTGAAAATGGATCTTTACTTTTTGTTTTATTATTTGATGATAATGATGAATAAGCTTGTAATAATTAAAAAAAAAAAAAAAAACATGCTAGGGTTCGATCGCTCTAGAGCTCTAGAGAACTACATGGAAGGATTAATAAACAATACACACAGGGTCGGATTAACCACTAACGGATCACTTAGCACGTGCTTAGGATTTCACAAAGGGAGAGGGTAGCACATCTATTTTCAATAGCATTGGAGCTGACCGTTTATTGTCTCAGTTGAAGTATGTCTATTTTTTTTTTTTTTTTTAAGAGGAAACGCGTAGCTATGAAGGTTCTCTACTGAGTATAGAAGCAGATGGGTTACATACCATTTCTGTTGAGGATCTGATCATAAAACTGTTAGCCCTTCTTCAGGGCTAGCAGAACACAGCACAGGACGCAGAACCCGCCCAGTCAGCAGCAACTGAAAGCTGTGAGTCCCAGACAACGCCAGACATAATACCACACAGAAACAAAAACTTAAGCGAAATTGTTAGCCACCGAGAAATTGAAAACATGCTAAGCTAGCAAAGAACCACTCTATAATATAACAAAAAGTTTGACATTTTTGTTAACCAGGAAATCGCCAATCTAAAAAAAAAAAAAAAAACAGTAAAAGAAAATTTTCAAATATAAATAAAATGGGAATGTAAACACATACACAAAAATACATTATCTTCTAACTGACTGTAAATTTTGTTTAATTGTGATAGATGCAATTTAACTTTATCTTCTTCTTCTTCACGTTCACCAGCTGTACACTCTGGCGGAAAGTTCTAGTTGATCGTCCACTACTGAACCGCAGTCCTGCTCCAGAACCTGAGAGTTGCGTGTACATTTAACTTTATGATTTATTATTGTTTGTATTTTTAATTACATATTTATGAGGGCACCAGGGCTGTCTTAACATATGGGCACACTGGGAGAGCTTAAAGGCCGTATGCTAATCTATGTTTGCCAAGTGACCATTTAATTCCATTCATGTAGGTGGTTGCCCTAGGGGCTACAGCACATTGGTTTGTTTGGGGTCCATAATGCTGTTCAGATAGCTTGGGGAGGGTGGGGGGGGGAGGGTTGTCACCAACTCATCTTTGAAGTGCTTAAGGCATAACTGCGTTTTAATGCAGGCTGCTGTAGGGACCAAAGCTGTGTTCACGTGAACGTTGTATTCTTGGTTTGAGCAGGTTTGCGTTGGTATGGTTTCACTGTATATCTTTAGACTATAGGTAACGTTGTCATAGCCACAAGGGAAATGAGAAACCTGGATGTTTGGAAAGAGACGTTGGCCCAAAACAGAACCAGTCATAAACATCAATCACAACCAAACATTTTCGGACAGATTTTGAGAAGGAAACTAAAACATATAGTGACCTCTGGAAAGATAAAGAGAGGAAGACAAGGTGGAGAATCTTGACAGCTTTTTGTCACGGCAAGGAGGGGCGTCAGCACACAAGCTGAAAGATGCTGTTGGATAACGCAGGTTGTGGAGAGGCATAATCGCCTATTCCAGTCGGCAAGACATTTGATTATGATGATATTGATATGAACGAATTACCATAACCGTTCCTTCGAAATCAGAGTGCATCTGCTTTAGAGAAAAAGAACCAACAATCTGCATATAAAACGCCATATCTGTCAAATGGATGTGCACGCAAACCTCAAGTTCTAGAAGAAGACCTCCACGTGTGGATTCCGGGGACCCATTGTGGGAAAAGCAAGAATAGACCCGCTGCCTCCCCAACAAGCATGTCGTAAGAGTAAACTAATCGTGGGTTCCCTTCAAAGTCAGAGTGAAACTGTACGAGAGCAAGAAACCAACAGTCTGCATACAAATAATCAAGATCTATAAATGGATGGGCGCATAACCTTCAAGTTCTAGAAAAACCCAGACTTAAATTAAGTTCAGAGGTGGAGGAACAAAAACTCTCCACCCGAGTTACAGCCGGTGAACGCAAAGAAAAAGGAGAAGGAACAACAGCAAAGCCCAGAAGTGAACGAACAGCCAGAATTCTCCACTAGAGTTTACAGGCGGTCAATGCTAAGGACCACGGGGCAGACTAAGAAGAATATGGAGAGATAATGTCCAGACTGACCTGCAAACACTTGGTGTCACCAACTGGAAAGAGAAGGCCAACCAGAGAGATGAACGGAGGCGGGTGATACCTGCAGCAATGAACCTCGAGGGCTCGGAATGCTGAAAAAGAAGAAAAAGAAGAAGAAGAAGAAGAAGAAGAAGAAGAAGAAGAAGAATGCTAAGGAGAAGATAGTCGTGACGTCATGACGGCTTGATGAAGGTAACTTGTGTGCTCCTGATACAGGTCAGAAAGCAAACACTTAAGCACCTAAGGATCTGCCTCAGTGAGCTGGGCAGTCAGCTATGGTGTGTACACAAATGTTAGTCAATCCCATAGGCGGAGATTCAAACGTATGTAATGGTATGTAATGCTGTAACGCGCGTCTTTGTCGGCGCCAAGCAAACGTTATAATTGCCCTAGCATTTCTTGGTCTTGTTTGTTATATTGTGAAGATTGCTGACTTTATGTATATATATATATATTCTTATCTGATACTGTTTGGTTGCACTGTGATTTCATTTATTTCTTAATAACGCACTCTGCACAGCACGCGATTGACTGACTGACTTTCTACCCCACCAGGACATCACACAA